TTTTATAAAACTTGAGACATACAAATTTTGTGTCTGGCGAAGAAAACAGAACTTTCGTCCCAATTGATATTCCCTCTCCATACAATTTACATACAGTACAAACATGATTAACATTAAAATTGACGAGGAAAAAATATTAATAAAAAGAAAAACTTAAAAATTTATCAAAATTCAAATTCAAAAGATTTTAAGGTTGTAAGTAATGGTCACAAGTTGATTTCGTGCGATTAGTAGCGGGCTCGCAGATTATTTTATTCATCTCTGTTTCGATGAAAGTCAAATCTCAAACTGCRCAGTGGCTGTACGTAGTGGTGTCGTACACATACTGGGCACACTTGGTTGTTRACGGTAAGAGATATCGCTTATGTAGGCCGGAGACATATAAGGTAAAAAGCAGTGGTCCCAGTATAGTGCCATGCAGGAGGATGACTTGTGGTCTATTTGCACAATAGCTAAGTAGCCACTTTAGAAAGGATCGTTTTAAAGCACATTTAGTGTTAAAAGCTATGCTGAAGCTCGCAATTTCCGTTTCGTAAAGCGGTCGTTGCCATGAAAAACGGTCGTTGCCTTTGTTAAGAACAGTCGATGCCATCAAGAACAGTCTTTGCCAATAAACCTTCTCAATGAACCGTGGGTAATAATGCGTTTACGCGAAAGGTCGTTAATTATTTGTATGGTTTTGCTGACGGGTTTCCTGTGGATCGTTTGTGCCTAGGTCCTAACGTGAATGAAAATGGCCGACGAAGGTATTGCAAGTCTGATGAGGAAATCAATCCATGAAATATCGAATCGTTTTGACAACTTTATAGATAATTCATAAAATTTAGAATCGTTTGAAATTAATAAACTTCCCGAAGATGTCAATTGTAAATTTAAAATGCTATTTGGCAATGAAAAAAATGGAAGGCTGCGTTTGATGTCGATCATGATGGCCTGAATTATGAAAATTGGCTGCGAGAGTTTGAGGAGATAAATGATATTGCTCTCAGAATGAAGASCAAAAAAAACCAACAAGAGGATGCAAGATTCAGAATTATTTCAGGTGCCAACAGCACAGCACAAGAAACTGGAGTCCTACAAAATATTTGACAGTTATAAACGGCACTACCTTGAAAAAAACTGCCTYAATTACCAACTACTTTGGAAATTATGCCACATACTTTGATTTCTGTTAACCCTGTATTGAGGGAGCTTATTGCAGTTCTTTGGTTTATCTACAAATATTGGAACAAATTTAGAAATGATAAATTTATGGCAAGAATTTTTTAACATTTTAATTAAGAAACTGTAGTAACAATGTACATATTGCAAAATTAAAGAGACTCGGTAAGGTTCATCTGCTGCAGCATCTCGTCCGCTATGTTGATGAATTTTCCCGCAAAACGATCCAAAGAAAACCCGTCAACAAAACCATACAAATAACGACCTTTCGCGTAAACGCGTTATTATCCACGATTCATTGAGAAGGTTTATTGGCAACGACTGTTCCTGATGGCATCGACCGTTTTTCATGGCAACGACCGTTTACGAAACGGAAATTTGCCTCGCCGAATATACTCTCTTATACCCAACAGAGCAGTGGTGGTTGAGTGTCCTTTGCGAAAACTGCAAACGTGGTTATGATGAAGTAGTGAAGCTTTCTTGGCAAGATCAGAGATCTGAGTAACCGCAAGCTTTTTGGTGAAAACTTTCGAAAGCTCGGGAATTATTGATAAAAGGCGAAACTGGTCGCTTGCGACTTGGATGTCCACCTTAGGAATGGGTGAAGTCTTGCGGTTTTCCACAATCTCGAATAATATGAGTTCCTAATGTAGTTGATAATACTAGTAATGCCCGTGAATGGATGGCCATGGATTATAGCGAGGTACTCAGCGACCAACTTGACGAATCTAGCTAGTATGCTGTYSGGGCCTGTTGAGCAAACTGAACTGGTCTCAGGCTGAAAGGACCGGCGTCAGACGTGCTTAATATAAGGCAGACTGTTGATGATACACTTGAGATCATCTAAGAGCCTATCGATTGGAAATGAGATTTATTTTGATCACTCGGTGTATTTAACAATTATTCGCAGAAGGCGAAGTGAATATCGGGGATTATTAYATGGCAAGGTAATTTCACGCGCTTTGATTGGTCAATTTGCGGTCCATAACTTACGGTACGGACCGAAAAATGAAATGGTTCACTGAGTGTACGTACTTATGATCTTTTGAAACATTCAAATCTTTATCAAGAAAATATATTTCTGGATGAAAATCGTCGGAAAACCTTCAATAAATAATTAAAGATAACTGAAAGTCACTGGCATTTAATGTAAAACTTATCAAACAAGCGACAACTCTTTCATACGAGCGAAACTCTTTCGATCAAGGCTCTACACGGCACTAGTTGAGCGATTTTGTACGACTAGAAAAAACTAGAAAAACTAACTATGCTAAAGCTAAAACTATGTCAAACTACGAACTAAAGGGTGGTGAACAGCGGCTAATTCAGTATATGAAATAAAGATAGGTTTACCGTAGAATTAACGTAAATTTGTTATTTCAGTGAGCTAACAACGTCCAGTTTGAACTTATCTGAATCCATCGGGTGAAGAAGCCAGTAGTTTCTTTCGTAAACGTTTTAAGCAGTTTTCTAGGCTCATCCGCTCTTGAAGTTTGTCCATATTTCAATAATATTTTACCCCCACTTGAATTTGAATGTATTTTTAGACAGGAGAGTTGGCAGTACCTTTTTTAATTGAGTCGAAAGTGTGCCTTCTTCMTGACTTCAGCCATTGTACATATGGCGGCCTGCTTCAAACAGTCAAAACGTTGAAAATTGACGAAAACTATCCATGTTCAGCCAGCCGTAATTTTTCAAAGCTTCTCATCCATTTCTGGAGACAGTTTTTGAGTTTTTTTCTCAATAAAAGGCAGGAAARCAAGCGGAAGGCTGTAGTATTTTTCATCTTGGTTGTGAATATCCTGAAGTTTGAAGTACGACAGTTTTCTTCTCAATCTCATGTTGAGTTCTTGAGGTCTTCTTTTGATGCCTTTTTTGCTTTRCATTTATATGTTTTGCAAAATAAAGCCTCACTTTTGTTAACTAGTATTTCAGAAAACTTTGAACTTTAGCTAAATTCTTTCAAAGTAAACTAAAACTTCGCCTTTTGAACGCCTCAAACACTACMTGACTTTTGGCACGYACAGGAAGCCCTTCCAATGCAGWTCTCGYTTGACATGCGCTGTCAACTTTACTTTTTGTTGCTTCGCCTCTTTTTGATCTCAATGCCTTGCCATATAATAAATATCTTATTAACCTCGTTTGCTCGGTCCGTACCGCAAGTTATGGATCCTCGTTTTTTCCACTTTTTTATGGCCCGCGCGCTACGCGCTTGGGCCATAAGGCAGTGGRAAAAACTCGGTCCATAACTTACGGTACGGACCTCGCACTCGGTTAATAAGAGCTATATATTACCGAGACACGAGTCTTCGATGCTTGGATTCCATATACAGTTTATAACGGTTTTATGCCATAGAGTTACTTTTTTTTCTAGTTATTTTTTTTATATTTTAGCTCATTCTATATATTCTATAYATTCATAGAAATATCTTATTTAAAATTTCTAATATTATCTTCTCTTATTTAAAATTTCAAAAAGAAAGACATTTAAAGGCACTAAGCAGAATAATGCTGATTCCGTCTGGACAACTCTCGACTTCTTTGTAAGATACAACTATTTTTTAACTTTCGTATAATCATTATCATTCACTGGTCAGGAAATTTATTTTTAGCTACGGTCTCATGACTATTTGTATTCATCATTATCATAGACTATTCTAGCTCCTGGTGATTTTTATTCTTRGTATCTAGAGAACCGCTTGCCTTCTGCGGAATTCTGCATCTTGTTAGAATAATTTCTTTTTCGCTTTGAACTATCGTCGCACCTAATATATACTAATTCTATCGCTTCGTGTCAGGGAATGGCGAGCAAACGACCTGCAAAACCGCTTCAGAACTTCCGTACCGCAGCTATTGTTGCCAAACAAACTCAGAGATTTTCTTCAGGTCAAGGTATGGATCATGTTAGGCTGTTTGGTTGGGTTAACAACCTTAAACTGAGTAAAAAGGGGGCACAGCTCTTTATTCATGAACAACAGCTGTCGTTAAACACTGTCCACGTTTGCTGACTTTTTCATTCAGAGTGTAGCTAAAAATTGCGTATAGTATAGAACGCTCTAAGTCAGTTTTTGGATYTTTATGTTCGCTTATCTAAGACAAATGACAGTAAAATCAAATCCGAAAAAGACATATTTATTTGTAATTTATAAGTTGTTCAAATTGTGTGTATTTTTCAAATGGTCAGCCAACACWTTCTTTATTATTATCATTTTCTCTTTCACGAGCGCTTCGCTATTAAATACTTCATTTATATTTACACGACATGGTAAGCTTGTTTTATGGACTTATGCTACCAAAACAGCAAGATAGTATCAGATTTGTCAGATTTTTTATGAGCCTTTAAACCTTCGATTATAGAGTTGATTGTATACTGAAAAAGCTCCATTTATTCTGAGTTGAAGATAGAAAAATATATTATTCCTAATATTATATCCAACCTCCCGCCAACCGACAAACATATATTTATATTTTTTCCCCAAAAATAACGGAAATGAGTATTTTGCTAGTCAGCACAGCAAATATTTGAAATAAAATATTGAAACTAACAGAGGTTTTGWAGGACGTCTGGTTGCCATGACAACGATAGCCAATTGACAAAAATGGAAATTTCTAAATGCTAAAGCTATGATTGAATGTTTTCTATTAGTAAACCTGATATAATGTCTATTTTGCCATTTCAATGCAATAAGAAGTTATCCTATTTTTTTCAAAGCTGAAATTCGAGAATGGGTTGCCTGTGGAGCTGTCACGTTTTGTCGTTCTTGCGTTACATTCATTTATCATACCTACGATTATTTTCTTTTCACTTTTTAATGTTTTTGAACGGTAATAAATATTTTTATCATAGTCATGACATGATGATGACGACAACAAATCCAGTCAAACGCTTAGAGGATCCAGAGGATTAGTGTAGTCCRTATTCTCTGTCAAGCTTGTAATTTCCACGGGTCACTATTGTTATTCAAATATTTTCAACATTCCACTGCTATTGTAAATATAAAAATCGTGCATGTAAAAAAATATCTCGAGTTCTTTCAACTTGAAAATTCGTCATGGATGGAGAATTAGAAGAAGCAGAGATGGCTCGGCAAGAATCTATTAGGCTTAAGAAAAATGTCTTGGAAAAGGAAGGTAAATGTTGTTATTTTCGCTACAACTTTCCCAACACTTGACTTTTCTTTATTTACCGAACTTTTCTAATATAAGCACTACACTAATAAGTTATTTTTGTACCTTTAATAGTTAGGTCTCTTTGGCCCCGTTTCGTTATACTTAGTTTACTTCAAATGTATTTTACTTCTCTGTCAGCTTTGCACTCAGATTCAGTCTTAATTTCGTCCTTAAATATTGTTGAAGTTTCAGTAGTTTTTACTAGTGAAAGTTGTAGCACCATGATCACACAACAACAGACAACCATGTATCGTTAGTGTCGTATATATTTCCATAGTTTGTATACAAGTAACAGTGAAAATTATCCAACCGATTTAAGACTTCTCCCTGTGCTAAAAAAATCTCGAACAAAAGATGTTATTTTAAAGCACAAGTATTTTTATCGTCTTCTTTTTTAACTCTACAACGGCTTATAAAGGCTGATATGTCGATGACAAAATAAAGTATCAAATGCATGTGATTGAATATTCTAATATTTAACAGGTTAGTCGACCGTGATATTTCGTTRTTTCACTATCAAAAATGTTTAATATTTGACGTATTTTGATTATTAAGAAATATTATCAAAGTATGAGTTTGAGTTTTAAACGAAGTCCAGCTGAAGGTAGCTGTTGACAAGTATTGAATGCTCTTTTCTTTGTGGTTGTATAAAATGCAAAACCGAGACACGTCTGCTTATCTCGGGTAATTGAAGACTTACTAAAGTCGAAAAAAAGACCACAAAAACATACAGATAACCTCAATTCAGAAGGTTTGTTTTAGTTGCATTTTTAAAAGGAAACGTTATTTTAACAAAAGACATAAAAAATAGGAACCCAAGACTATTAACTATTAATAAGAGAGCAATATATTGACAGTGACTCGACTCTCTTTCATGAGATGTTTGTTTGTTCTCATTATTCACGTCAACCAGGGTCAAAACATAATTCATCTTTTTTGTCAAAGCCAATAAGACACCTTGTTCAATGAACCAGTATTGTTATTTATCTCTAACGGCACGTTCTGGGTAAACACTGTTCATAAATAATCAATTCTTGTTCATGGCTATTAATCATCATTATATTATTAGCCTACAAGTCTTTCGCGTGATCTACATTGACGTACGTCATCAGAAAATACTTGAGTATATGCCTCTTGCCGGTCAATATTTATTCATYGATTTTATTAATCATATGTATATATTTATCATTAATTATTAGTTAATTTATAACATTTGTAGCTTTGCATAGCTTTTTCATAAACATTAGAGGGGTTATATCGTGGTAGCTAGCGTGACTTGTAAAAACAGGTTTTTATCACGCAATGTGCTGGTTCCCCATGACATGAAAGAGGGAGGTTCGAAGAGTTTGAGGCTCCATACGTATCCCCGATATATTTCTAAACTGATTTCTTTCCTTCTTGAGTAGCTCACGGTTAGTTAAACGTTTCTGTGTTACGCCAAGTGAACGTAGTGCCTTCTGGGCTACCTGGGGGATAATATACAATATAAAATATAAAAAACTCAATTTAAATTTTTAACTGCCAACAAATACCAAAATAGACCAGGTTCGAGAGGTACGTATCCAAAATGATTGAATCGTAGAATAATCTTGTATTCCCTAGGTGAAAGAGAGGCCGCACACAAGAAGGCGTTTACAAAATGGGTCAACTCCAAGCTCGCTCAGGTAACGTTCCCAGTATTGTACTGCGGCGAGATGTGATATCTATAGAGGCTTTCCATCACGTGATAGCAGCCAGCGGGAAGGAACGATTGATTCTGGTCTAATCTCATTTACATGAGAAAGGATTCAGTTTCCCAGGGGGAAAATAATCTATTGTTATGCCTCCTKTCATGGCTGCCATCACGTGATGGTGCAAAGCCTCTATAAGCAAGATAGCTCTAAATAATAGGCCTTTTGCAACAAACAGTCACGTGCTGACATATCACTTTGATAACGAATCAAGTCAGCTCAAGGTCCCTTGGGGAAGACTCTGCTGGATGGGGTAGGAGGTGGGGGGCTTGCATTTACATTTGTAAATTTAGTAAAGAATGTTTCACCAAAAACGTGGGATCCCTCCAGCTCCACTATTGTCATCTGTGTTTTACAGATCAGCATTGTCCCGTGCATTGTTTCCATGGGACCCGAAATCTGCGTGCTTCTTTTAGTCTGGTTAGCCATTTTCAGCGTTGAAGGAAACAAATTGGTCAAGTTGGCATTGCTGTACATTGTGACTCTATTTTAGGGGATATATTTGCATGCAATATAGCGCCTATTTCGTCCCTAAATTAAAACACAAAATGTACTGCAATGCCAAATAGACCCAGTTCTTTCTCGACGTCAGAATGTATAATATAAATGGTTGTTGTTTACTTACAGAGATCACCACCCATGCATATCAGCAATGTGGTCACCGACTTACAAGATGGAAGAGCACTCCTCTGCCTGCTGGAAGTCCTGACTAAYAGAAAACTGGTAAAATAATGTTATTCAATGAGAAGTTCGCCACGCGAAGGAGGATGGAAAATTATCTATCCATGCTATGCATTCCATCCCTCCTCCCATCCGTCCCTCCTCCCATCCGTCCCTCCTCCCATCCGTCCCTCCTCCCATCCGTCCATCAATTCACTCACTCACTCACCCACGCACTCCTTCCTTCATTTCATTTCAAGAAGTGTGCTTCTCCTTACACTTCTTTAGTGCTTACGGCGCTTCCTAAGTGCTTTATTACTGACGAACGGTGCACGGAAAAAGCTGTTTTATTCGTTTTATTATGTAGTTATTAATTTTATTTCGATATTGAATTTATTTACGYAGAAAGAAAGACGGTCGCAGGATCTACCAGCCCTTTGCGCGCAGATGGCGTCAGCACTATTCTCCTTTCACTAATAAAGCACAGTTTTCGACCAATCARCGCGCGCGTACTATCCCAACTACATAATAAACATTTATACATTTTGTTCATCTTTTCTTGTTCTTCGTTTGGGCGTGCTTTCGTACTTTTTATTATTTATCTATATCTTCCTTTTTTTAGAAAAAAGAAAAGGGCAACCTTCGTGTTCACAAGATCAACAATGTCGAACAAGCACTAATTGTCCTTGATGAATGCAAAGTAAGTGAGAAAAGAAAAAARAAATTTTACCACAAATCGTTAATTTCTCGCTCGCTGATTTACTATTTTTATAATTGATATTAAAGAGGACAGACCAATAAGCTGATGTCAACGAACGCGCACTCTTTCCGATAGTTTTTTAGATCACTAAAAAATGTCGAAAAAATTCGTGTCAGTGTTGAATTTTTTGTGGTAAAAAAAAAAAACAAATCGAGGTCCCTTCTCTATGGTCTGTATTCTTATCGAACATGGAGTGGGACCGGCATATGTTCCAAACTTTGCTTGTGTTTCCACTTGTGTCTGGATCATGTGCTGAGGCCATTCCACGTTCGATAAGAGTACATAGAGAAGGGACCTCGATTTGCTAAATTGCATTAAAGTGCACATGAAACCTTCATAACTTAAAGACGCATCACTCAAATCAAGAAATATTTTACCTGTCAACTATTTACTTTATGCAGAATCAGTACTGAAAGTATTGTCGAAGGGTTCATGTGCACTTTAAGGTATTTTCATTAATTCATTTATTCTTAATTTATTCACTAATATATTGTTGGTTTTACTTCAGGTAAAGCTTGTGGGCATCAATGGGTTCGATATCGTGGATGGTAAAACTCGTGTCATTCTTGGTTTGATGTGGAGCATTATCTTGAAGTTCCAGGTAACCAATGAACAAGTAGAAAACTCGAGCGCGTGCTTTGTATTCGTATTAGGTACGCTCCCCCAACCAATCAGAGCGCGAGATTTATAACAGTTATATGATAAGAAAGGTTTACAACATGAGCGGCAGTTCAGCAGTGTTATTGTTCGGGCATGCGTACAATGTTTTCTGACGTCACGCATTGTTTGGTACGATCATCCCACATTGATTGTTGTCTTAACAAAGCAAGATGCGGGGTTTTTGATCTAGTTGGTGGGACTAGCTTTTGAAAGCCATACCTATACAGGTTTATTAGTATTCTGTATCAGACACAGTGTACTAATTAGTTGATCTGTGGGGTTTAAGGTGTTCTCATGTGACCCCATTCGTGTAATTTCATTGGATATTTCCCTAATAATAGTGGTAATGAATATGATAAAACAGGATAGAAGCTGCAGTACTGTCGTATAAAGGCTTTGTACCGTCATGTGATTGCACCAATGAGAGAAAGCAGGAACAATTTAATCTGGTTTACAATTATATGATTTACAAGAAAAATAATCTAAGTTTCTCTAGATCTTTTGTACCTCCTGAAATGGCTGTCATCACGTTATGGTGCACAGCTTTTATTCTATATATCTTTTATGRACCCGAGAAAACAAAGAAAGAAAAATACACCTTGAAGTACATGATATTTTAGAGAATAGGAGGTTGCTTCAAAACACAATGCAGCGGTTGCTGATATAAAACTAGTTTGATGCGTTTGTTGGTTCAATCGACTAAGTCAGCCGCTGCGCCCATAACAGGTGCCACATAATATTGATAAATCCATTATCCCTTGGCAAAATGTTTTCCCATATCAGAACACGTGTCATTCTCTTAAGATAAAGTCTTTTTTTAGATGTATCCATATTCACATTTTTTCTCCAAAATATGTTAAACAAAGAAATGATACTCTAGAGAATGAAGCATGGTTTTAAATRGKAAAATACTACGCCTACTCGCCCAATGTAAAAGTTGTTTTACTTGCGTCTTAAGAAAATACAAAGTACAACAAATAGAACTTAATAGAACTTTAATAGAACTCTAATTTCAACTTTGTTTTTAAATTCGATCAAAGTACACGATGGCGGTTAAACAAACAAGATCAAACAATTCATTTTGCTGAACCTACCCGACGGACCGTTCACTTGAGAATGATTACTAACGAAGGAGCTCTGCAACCACCAACTGAAATGTGGACATTGGCACTGTGTTAACAAATAATGGGAGTGTTTTGTTCGTTTAGGTTCAAGGAGTTATGCAGCAGACTGGTTCTGAGGAAGAGTCATCGAGGAGCTTTGCTGTTGAAAAACAACTTCTGGAATGGTGCAAAGAGAGACTGAAGGGGTAAGCAAGACAACACTGCAAATCCAATACAGCTATTCGAAAAAAAGGATGGCGACGGTTTTGTTGCGCGTTACATATTGCATGCTGCATGGGCATATTGCACGGGGCATACTAAGCCCGAACTGTACGGTGGATCATATATATATGTAACATATACTGGAAAAACTTGCTCACAAAGTTTTAAAAAATCCATATCATTGTGACCTTTCGCTGAGTGCATTCACAATACCCATAGTGCATTTCGGGCTTCATGTGTAACAACACGACCTTCACTAACCTTTTTTTGAAATAGCTGTATACACAAGAAAATTCTGAACCTAATTRCATCGTTTTTTAAGGAAAATTAAAATTTTATTATTTTATTAAACATTGATCGACGAGCCTGGTTTTTGCGGTAACACGTGCTTAGTGTGCACTCATTGAATATCGAAAGTAGAGTTAAATGATGACATGTACTACAGTGCGAGGGAGAGAAATAGAAAGAAACAGAAAACGGGAGAGAGAAAAGATGAACTAAGAAACATACGCATCATTTTTAAAATAATATTGTACATTTTTGAACGCGTTCTTGTTATTAGATATGACATCAAGGTATCAGATTTCACAAACAGCTGGCGCGATGGCTATGCGTTCAACGCCGTTTTACATTCCTACAGGTACGTTGTCATGGATATAAGATTTTCTTATTTTCCCGTAGTTGTAACGTAGTATGTATTGTAAGTGGATAATCAATTGGAAGGCGATAGGAAGCCATTACAAAGCTAAAGCATGTTGACGTRTATCTGAGGGAGAGAACACAACTCCAACTCTCTACCGACAATTCCGGCACACTGGCAACCCACAAGTTCTCCAACAATTTTTCTAAGCAATAGTCATTTGATAGGTAGCCGGTAAACAAGTCTAATTCTAACTTTGACTTGCCTTACACAGAAAAGACGCATTTGATTTCGACTCATTGTCCCGGATGGATGATAAAAAAAGGCTGGACCACGCCTTCAACCAGGGAGAGAAAACGTTCGGCATTCCACGCATTCTCGACTCTTCAGATGTTTATGTTGAACGCCCTGACAAGAAATTAATCATCCTCCATGTATCCAACATGTATGACTATCTGGAAGGCAGCAAGGCTAAGGAGAGATCAGAGGTAAGATAGTGGTGACGTGCGTGTKGGCGGAATAAGATTATGCTTACTCTCCCCACCCTCATCCCTCTCCTAAAAAAATCTCCTATAAAAAAAATTGAGAAAAGAAAAAATCAAAATCGAAAATTCACAATATGGTGATTAAGGATTATAATTATCTGAAAGTTTGCCAAGAAGAGGAGTAAATATAGCTAGAAAGGAGTTAGGACACTTCTACTAACAAGAACTATACTCCTAAATCCAAAATGGCGCACGACCGGTTGAAAACGAGGCATCCAGGGMCAGATTTACAGATTTACAGTATTCTCTTATGATTTTTTTCATGCTACAAAATTGTCGCGTCCCTGAATGTAAGGATTAAAAAAAGACCGAAGAAGTGAACAACTGTATACTGTATATTGACACCATATCATTTCTTTGCATTTGGCCCGTTTTCATGTAACACACTCTCGGCCGTTGCGCCATTTTGGACTTAACTGTATAGGACAATCCAACATTTAGAACGACAATTAACCTATTATTCAAATAATTAGCACATATGATTGTGTTCATTTACACACTTGATTCTTTTGTAAGAAATTACAATTCATTTGAATATTTCAGCAGGCTGATGTAGAGGAAGTAGTGGTTCAAGTTGATAATGACCAAGTTGAAGGCGCGCTTAAACCCTCATGGGACGAACTAGACTCAGCTTCAAGCAGGTAAACTACTCGCGTTTCTAAAGCTCAGACGAAGGTTGTTTACTTCCTCAGGAAACTTTTGGGACGGGTTTACACACCTCCATATTATGGTCCCCCTAAATCCTGTCATCGGCAATCAATGATAGCGCAGCATTTGTGCGCCGTCGCTTCTCGCCGGGTAGACTCGTGACCATTCTACCTTATTAGGTAAAGGGAATGAAATAGCTTGTTTYTCTATGGTTGATCAATAGTATTGTTCGTGTTTAGATCACCCGAAGAAAGAGCAAGAGCTCTAGAAGAGATTGAAAGAAAACTGGACGATCTCGATGCAGCAGTTGATGACGCCGAAGATCGTAAACCTGTTTCTAAAGACAGCAATTTAGTGGATCTGGAGACGAGTAAAACACATTTGGACAGACACAAGGTATGTGTCATTTATTGCTKATACTATAAGGGTGAATATATTGGTTGTCGTGATAAGGATGATGGTGATACAGTCAATTCAAAAAACGTTGTCGTCGATCGGCTCAAGCCTACGCGACTGGACCGAAAGGAATATGGGTAAAAATCACTGAAGCGGTTAAATATTCGTTCTGAATTAATTGTTCCCGCTAGTAATAAGATTATRATGGCGAGAAACAATCCATCAAATGCATGTCTTCRGGTTTAGGGAAAGAAAAACAAATTAAGTAGTTATTATTCATTTCACAATTTCGAAAATATGAGGGCATTAAAAAAATATCTCCTTCAACACTTCCCGCTCGCCTACGAAGGTTCGTGCTTTAAACCAGGCATAACTAGTCAGATAAAATTATGGAGTCAACTCGGCTTCAATGATCGCTACCCAGAGTTCCTTTCGGTCCAGTCGCGTAGGCTTGAGTTGGTTGACGACAACATTTTTTGAATTGACTGTATAGATCGCTGCCGCTTGCGAATAGAATTACTTGTAGGTTCTCACATATACAGCTATTTCAAAAAAGGTTGAATACTGAATGAATAGTGCATTCCAAGACCAAATTGTATTGTGGGTCTCGTTAACTGGAAATTAAAAGTAAATATACCGCAATAACTCCCTACATGAAGTTAGTATATTGTTTCAGATGGGATACTCTAAAAWTAGAATAAATAATAGTTATTAATCCTACTTTAGACAATGTCACTATGACCCACAATGCCCTTTGGTCATGGAATGCACTATTCAGTATGCAGTATTCAGTATTCAACCTTCAGCATCRAGTCTTAATAGTAATGATGCTAATATTGATGTTGATACCGGCATTGATATTTGTGACCATGATGGTAATGATCATGAGCCAAATGATGGTGAKGATATTTAATTTTAAAAAACCCACCCGAACAAACCCAAAGTATGTCACTGACTGAAAATGATGATGACAATAATAATGAATGATATTAGTTAATTATAGACTTATTTTTGTAACGATATATTAGAAAAAAGGGCAATGATGATGATGATACATCGTGATGGTGYAGGGACAATGATGATAATTGTTATGGCAAAATTGTTATTGAGTATTGATATTTGATTAAAGTGTCATCGTTTTTGTTTATTTTCCAGAAATACATGCGTACCCTGGAATCCCTTGACAGCTGCAAGTACGAGGTGTTCGCTGAGGTCGAGCAGACAATCGATGAAGGATACTGTGAMGATAAAGAAAAAGATGCATACTACGGCAGAATGAGACAAATTGATGAGAAGATCAAGGCTCTACGAAATGAAGAAATAAAAGATTTAAACAAGTAAGTGTCCTTATCGTTTCAAAGTCAGCATAGCCCCCCGTCCTCCAAAGGGCATGTCCAAAGAGCCTGCTTACGTAGGCTAATGTCAACATGTTGAATCACTCAGTGCTAAATTGTGGGATTTTTATAGCTAGTATTTTTGGGTTTGATTGCGGTTGAAGGATATCGGGAGCTACSTAGTCCGCGCCCTGAAATTTACTATCACACATCCCTAGACATCCTGAGCCTACAAACTACTCTTATCCAGCCTTTGACCCTTAACACACCATCTTTTAGGCCCGCTATAATACTGCTATTCCTATACCCAATCAAGATTTACTATGAACCCTAAAACCACCCATCCTGGAATCCCTGAAAAGCCACCCATTATAAATAGACTTGCCTTGAACCCACTCAACCATCTATATCCTTAACTAGGATTATTAACAACATAATGGTCAGTTGGGAGAAACCGTTTTAAAATGTATCTGCATGTCTTTTTCTGAATGCGTTTGTTTATCTTTCAGAGTCTCTTCGAGCTACAATCTCTTTTTAAGCGAAAACTTAAWGAAAATAGAAAAGTCTGTGGAAAACTCGGAAAAGAAAATCAAGTCAACTAAGGATGTCGCTAATGATTACGACACAGTGAACAAACAGCTGGAGGAGCACCAGGTAAATAGAGCACATTGTCTTGACCAGCGGTCTTCTTATTGTCTCGCGCTTTCAAGTTGGGAAAAAATCGGAAACTAWCCATTACCATAATCCACTGATCTTATTGACATTATCAATAAGTAAGCAAGTAAGTAAATAGGTAAGGGATTTCAGACCACGTGTCATTCTTTAGATTGGCACTTCAATAACACATACAAAGAATATTATTCTCCTTTGAGACTGAATGAAATTAATTAATGAATTGCGAAGCTCCGAGGGCATATGTGTTATATTTTGAGGACCATTTCTCATCCAGTGACTATGACATTATCAGCCGATATTCCAGTGAGCCAGAAGAGGTTTATTTATTTCATAACCAAAGGGCTTCAACGAAATGGATTCTACTGATCGAGAACTTCGTTACGTTAATCATAAGCCAAAAGATTCAAAGCTGAAAATAAATCTAATAATTTTGTTAAATTAATTCATTCAGTGTTAGTCGTTTTTTAGTTTGTTTGTTCATTTTTAGAAGTTTATAAAACGAGTTAGAAAACAAACCAAGACATTCCTTCACATAACGATATGGCTGCTTACCTCAAAAGACGTTTACAGCATATTTTATTGATTTTTTGTGCTTGCTTCCGTATTTTTTTCAACCAGTCTTTTTTTACTCTCACTCATTTGTAAAACCGAATTTCATTGTTTTTCTTCATTTTTACGTATTTTATTTCCTTTTGAACGGATATCACTTCATCAGACGTGGAATATCGTCTGGTATCCGTCCTTCACGTGACCCATTTGAACCAATGACAGTGCGCGAAGATTCATAATTGCGGGTTAATTAATTATACGTACGAAATAACTATTTATTTTTGATTACTTAGGAATTCCAAGAGGAAATGGGTGACCCAACAGTCGTTAACACAATTTTAGAGATCGATGCATCTGATCCTAGCGTGGATAGTGCTACACGCAACAGACTGAAAGCCCTGAGTCAACGTTGGAAAGCCATCTGGGACTGGGCTGAAGACAGAAAGAAGAAGTTGATGAGTTCTTTGTCTGACTGGCAGAAGTTTAGAGATGAGGAATTGGTAGTACTAAATTGGCTTGGAGCAAAGGAAAAGGCTTTGAAAGAAATAAATAAAACTGATTTGATGGACGAGCAAGCCGCGAACAAAAGTGCCCAAGAACTTGAGGTTAGTGAAACCAGTAAAATATAACTACTTTAAAGTCTCGTTACGTGCAGTGGCTTCACTTCCATTTCGTTTCGAGAGGTCTATTTGTTGATTAAAACATTTCCTTGGGATGGGAATGAAGGTTTTGTCACTTTGCTAGCTAAGAACTTTCTGATTTTTGTACGATTAACGCCGAAGTTCATTTTTCCACTGCATTAAAGTGCTACTCTGACGAAAATCGCTCAAACTTGGATTCAGCTGAAACTTCTTAAGAATACTCTTTAAAGGTTCAATAATCACTGTATGAAGTGTTTTCTCGATACTCAGGACGAAAGTATGATATTTTTACGRTTATTKTTTTAAGTCTGTGACGTCATACACTCTGTATTCATTTTTCTATTCTGTCAATTATCTACTTTAAGTTTGCACTTAGTCCTTTCAGCGCGTGTTCAAGTCCCAGTAAAGGCGCCCGCTCGAACACATCAAACGCTTTTGCCTAACCGGTTACTTGTTTGGTATATTTAGAGAATTCAAAAGGAGCTTGTTGATGAAGAGCACAGACTGGATTATCTTCATGAATGTSGCGAGAAACTCAAACGAGAAGCTGGTGAAGACAAGGAAGCCATCAAGGACATTGACAAACAGCTGAAAGACTTTGATGATTGCTGGAATGATATCGTGAAGCAAGTGATCGATGGGAAAGAAAAGGTTGGTTAGATCAAGAGATTTTTATATTAAACTAAATCGTTTGCATGTTTTAAAACCTTGTCTCTCCGTTGTATAATATTTTTCTGTTTTAAGGTGGCTATCTACTATAGAAAAATAAATCTACTTCGCGCAGCCATGTTGGATGAATTAAACAAACGATTTTTCTTAAGTCTCTTTTGTTATAGTCTGCTTTACTATATGATCCAACATGGGCACCGTGTCTTTTGTTATTTCATTCTCTTGGGAATGATTGCAAACCAGCATTTTGGGGTTTAAAAATTGTGATTCAAAAACTTTGATATTTTTTGCTATAGTGCTGAGGCAGCCACCTTAAGACAATGCTTAGTGAATGTGTAACGTTTTTGATCTGTGGCAACTACAATAGAAAAATAAAGACATCTTGTTTAACGYAGACAGGGATTACCTCGACTGAATATCTAAAAATCCTACGTATTGAAATTGATGAAAAGTCTCCACATGCCGAATATCAGGTTGGAAATATTCTTTTGAACATAAAAGAATAAAAGACGTGGTAGATGAAGTGATAGTACCACAAAATTGAACCATAAAATTCTACACCATTTCATCAATAAATGTAATGTTATTCTATGTTATTCATGGTATACCACACAGGTCTATACTTGGTCCACTAATTTTGCATTTCAAACTAAATAACAATCACTCTCCGAAAACATATACGACCTTTTCAATGTGTTTTGTTGTTTTCAGGTCAATAATGCGAGCAATAAAATCAAAGAAATGAAAACCAAAATGAAGGAAGTGAATGAATGGATGGATGACGCCAGAAGCCTCATTGAGGACGTATCTGACGAAATGTCACCAGAAGACATGGACAAACTCAAGGACAAGGTCGAAGTAAGTAAACATTGTATCCTAACCATGTTAAAGATTCCAAACCAAAACAGAGTGTTTGCTTGTGTTTAACAGTTAAAATGCGACGAGCGCCCGCAGATTCAACTTCGTGTCCAGCGGGCTAAACGTCTATCCAACGAYGTCATGCCATTGTTGAATCCCGAGTTTTCAAAAAAGCTGGAAAAAGAGGTGGAAGATTTCGAAGGAAAATGGAAAGACACCAATGCTGCTCTGGAGGGCTTTAGCGACAAGGGATACTCGGACGCAACGAGTGATTGCTGCCTTATGAGAGTCATCAAGAGAAAATTCAAATCAACTAATAACTAGGAATTATTTAAGAAAACTAGAAACTAATACACAAACATAAGGTTTAAAACCATTGTCTAAAAATATATATTAAATCAAGGTTATTTTTCGTTCTGGGGTCCCGAGAAAAGAATGGAAGGRAAGTTACTAGGCTGCATGGAATACAAGAACTGCCATTAAATTCAATTTGGGTTAAAGTCGCTATAGAAGATTTGCATCATCACGCGATGGCAGCCATCRAGGAGAAAAAACATTAAAGTATTATATTTTCCCAATGGGAAACTTACTTATTTCTCGTATAAACCAAATTATACCAGATTTAAATTTTCCCGACTCCTGTCATGGCTGCCGTGGTGCAAAGACTCTATGAGCTTTTTTTATGCACCTCGGGAAGAGAAACTGGATAATWTCATTTACAAACTGAGTGTCGATGRCTCTGCAGAGAACTGTGGGGGAAACAAATATGTGCATTGTTACCGCTCAAATAAATACTTGTATACGGTTTAAAACGTGTAACAAACATACCTTTCTTAAGTGCAATGCTCCGGAATATTCCATATCTTTCTTGATTAAATAAATCACATTCTCCTGCTGTAAAACCTCTCAAAACTAAACTTAAAGACAGTAATTCGAAATGTACGTACCATCAATAGATTCAGTAAATGTCCTCTRAGGCCACAGGTATCCGCAAWTTTTTGTATCCACAAATTATTTTTTTGCGGATACGAAAATGTTTGCGTCCACACGCAGCGTTTTCGAATCGTTTGCGAATCGTTTTCACTGTCCACACGTATCCGCAAATTGATCCGCCCTGATGGCAGTCTAGTGCCTAGTCCCTTTGACGGATGGTTTTTCTTATTGGGSATGCGCAAAATCGTGTTTACGCCAGCGTATTCGAAAATTTGCGGATACGACCGTCCACACGTATCCGTATTCGTAGCGTTTTCGAAAATTTGCGGATACRGATACAAAAATTTCCGGTCACGTGTGGACGCAACCCGTATCCGCAAAAAAAAATTTGCGGATACAAAAATTTGCGGGTACGTATGTACGTTGCCTGAATGCCAGTAAATCAGTTCACCAAAGAGTTTGATATGTGATAGCAAAGCGGCCATCTTGAAWCAAAATTAAAATTCCAAAGTAGATCAAAACACCCCATATAGTAATTTGCATATCTAAATAGGCCGGAGCACACAGAGCATACGATATAACAATAATAATRTTAACCCCTTAAAAGTTTCTGTTCCAAACTTGTAATCATGTTCAAAAGTCATTAAAACGTTGTTTTATATGCTATATATGCTACTAAAGGAAACCTAAGGGAGAGAATAGACCAGTTTCGAATTTCAAATTACCGCTGTGTTTCTTGATTACAGGCTCATTTACACAGGATCAGCCTCGATTTTGTGCAGAATATTCACGTGTTACAGTCAAGGCCCGTCAAGTTTCAAAGTATTCGTATTGTTGGAGTTGTGCATTCTTTACTTTACCGTTGGTATTTGTGAATATTTAAACACTGATGCGAGGCTAASCCTGWGTAAATGAGTCTGTAATCAAGGAACACAGCGGTRATTTRGAACTCGAAAATGGTCTATTGATATACACTCGATAMGCATACTTTGCTTTTTATTACCGCTGGTAATGCATTCTATAAAGAATGGGCTCTTAACAGTAAAGATGCAGAAAAGGCGCCAAGGGACTTTCAAAGRATTATTCAAATTTGAACCTTGCAACCTCGACTGAATGCTTTGTGTTTGACCAATGAACCAATGTATGGAAAATGGTGAATGATRGAGACATGTCCAAAATGGCGCAGGGAACTGTGAAGAGGACTGTTTTATATACACGTCCATGTTTTAACGAGCGATGATCCTCTATTATAAGTGTTTAAATAAATTATCGTCTATTGTCTATTGTATATGGATGTCTTTGRAAAGCTTGGGGCCAATTGTTGAGAAATATTCATTAAATTAAAGCTAAGGCGTTTGATATTTAGGATTGATTGATCATAGTACTATCAAACTTTAATTCTTTAACAAAAGAAGAGGGGACGAGGGGACGAGGGGACGAGGGGACGAGGGGACGAGGGGACGAGGGGACGAGGGGACATAGTGCAATAGTTGTAAGCTTTGAGTTTGACCACGTGTTTCCAGTTAGTGAGATGTCATGTTCAGCGTCCATCTGGTAATCAGATTCATGGCATTCAATYAGCTGATGGATACCAAGTCATATAATACTCTCTGGTTCATAGCGCATTGCCAAGTTTCATATCGTGGGAGGACTGTGTCAAATCCGGACAATCGTCATCAAGACGAAGCYTTGAATATCTTCATTTCCCGATGATTTTTTTTCATTTGATCACAATCTGGCAGCATTTGTGTTATTTTGCATTATGCAACTACATATTTTTTTTTAATGTTTATTTTATACCTTCACTAGATATGGAACTAGATATGGAACTTGCCAATGAAGGGCAATGTTTGCCTGTCATTATAGGCTGGTAACGAGATTCATCCAGCTGGTTGATACTGGTTGATATCAYATGACGGGCAGTGTTTGCTTGTAATTGTATGTAGGCTGGTAACGAAATTCATTCGGCTGAATTATTCTAAGCATTTTTTTGAAAAATTCTCAGTTTTCGATTTTTGCTAGGTTTTTTATTCCCTTTTATTGTTTATAATTGTATCTTTTTATGTTACTTTTATATTCGTCCAATATGAAGTATCAGGCTATCTAGGACATCTAGGAGAGACAGTCATTAAACATCTTCATGCACTCGTATGTTCGGGTCTTGTCCATTGAAGATCTCTTCAGACACTTCATCAGACTTCTTCTGCACTTGCTCTGAAATTGATAACGGGATGGGACACAAAAAAGTTACATTAAACACTYACTGACTCGGACCAAGGGAAACAGTGTGTTTTGTGGTCCCGATACGGAGATTTTTCCCGAGGCGAAGCCGAGAGCCACATTGCCGTCTATGGACCACAAAACTCACTGCTTTCCCGAGGTTCCCGTCAATAAGCGTTTTGTTATATATATCTTATCGCATATGACACGGACATGGTGTTAACCAAACATGATAAGCTAACCAAAAAAAAATCGTTTCGCCTTACATGAACATAATATAAACAAAACAAGCCTTTAATGTTTTAATGAGATGGCTTAGATATTTCATTGCCGGTAATGTTTTAGTTAGRTGGCTCAGGTAAATTTCTTTGCCCGTAATGTCAGGTTTTAGTGAAATGGCTAAGAAATTTCTTTCTGACGATCTATGTAATGAGCTTCCCAAAAAAAAAAAATTCGAACTTTGTGTGTATAAATAAGTGCCGATCATCTATTTGCCATACCTCTTTCTTAGGTTCAGAGCGACAAGCAGCAGAAGACTTGAAGCAGATATCATTGAAAGAACACCAAGAATTGGATCCACAGCTTTTGAAGTATGCTTGGCACACCTAGAATGAAATGCAAAATACGGTTTGAMATGTATGACACTCCTTAGACTGAATACTAATCCTACACTTAGAAAACGCTATTGCAAAAAAAAAAAGAAGAAAAGAAAAAAAAGATAACAAACTTGCCTTTTCATCACATAAGGGAATGAGTAATGTATAAGTTTGTTTTTACACGAGTTGAAATGCCTGTTATGTTGGTGAGACATAATATAATATAAACACCTACTAAATAACTCAGAAGCATATGAGCGCGTATGCACTGTGGATTCGTTTGAAACAAATATCTCGAATTTTCTTTTCATAAAATTTGGATTGTATATGTTTCGAACAAGTTTTGTAAAAATTTTGGAAAACAGGACTGGGACGAGAGGCAATTTCAAGGCATAAAACAGTGTTCGCTTAGAAATTTTGTCAGGTGTGCACAACCAACCACAAACCACCCCAAAAGGGTAGGTTTTTTTCTCGAAAAGTTTCTCGAGTGTTTGTCCTGAAAAAGTACGGAAATATCAAACTGAATAGTCCTATTCACACTTCCCTGTGCCACTTTGAATCCTTCATGGAAGCGAGGCTGAGGCTTCTAAGAACTAGAAGTAAGTGATTTCAAAAAGATTTTGCAATTTTATTCAGAGTGTTGCTCTGGGCCCCGCCGGTTGTACGAAGCCTGGATAGCTCTATCCGACGGATAATTCCTATCCACGTGATAAATTTATTGGATAACAGAATCGACTTATCCACTGGATAAGGWCTTATCCTCCGGATAGCGCTATCCAAACTTTGTACAAACGGGCTCTGGTGTTTACATTCGATATCGCCTCCGATATATATCTCCATAATATCTATGGCTATTATTAATTTTTTTTCTTTTCGTCGATTATTGGTTTATTATCTTTAAATAAACCACGAATACATCAGATACTAGTATTTTACAAGATTTTTCTCGCGGAGGTTTTGCCTAGCATTGTGTGTTTTTTTATATTGACGAATATAGAAAAAAACATAGGTATTATGGAGATATCCCAGGCGAAATCGAATGTAAACACAAGAGCAACACTCTGAATAACATCGCAAGATCTGTGTTTAATTACTTACTTTAAGTTCTTAGATGTTTTCTAAAAAATTCCTAAATCTGCTGTATCTAAATCGTGTTGGCTTGATATTTATAAAACGACTTGTAAATTAGCGATAATAGTTCGACATGCATGATGAATACTTTCTCTTGTTGMTTATATAGATCTGATGGATAACTCAACACCAGCCTCGCTTCCAGGTATGTTTTCAAGATGGCGCTGGGAACTGTGAATAGGTCTAAAGAGGTTTTGTACCACCACGTGACGGCAGCCATGTTAGATGGCAGGAAACATACAATCGYTTTACATGAGAAAGATCTAGAAATCAATTCACGAGAGCAAAGGGATTTTATTGTTCTGCCATCTAACCACAGGCAGTCCAAGCAGTATTATGGGCGCCGACACGTGATGGCACAAAACCTCTATTGCACGTGAAAGACATAAACGGTAAATTTAACTGTACCTGATATTGTGTTGCATTATATCATGCCTTAGTTGTTGTTGTTGTTGTTGTTGTTTTGTTTGCTTGTTTTTGCTTTTTGTTGTTGCTTCTTTTGCACGCCCGTTGGCCAAATTTGAAAGGTTTATTTTTATCCTTTAAGATATCATCCTTCAGCAATGAGCTTGTCAGATGACAAATGATTATTCTCATTTCATCCTTAGAAAATAAGTTTAACTTACGTTTTTCCTGCAGTCGCAAAACCCCATCCTGCAAGACTGTTCGTCAGCTAAACCTCCAATCCCACTGCTTACACATTCTTTGAAACCTTTCACGCATTCCTGACGATGGCCAACAAACAGTTAATTAATAWATTGAAAAAATTTCTACTGACTAATGAAGGGTCCTCCTGGTGGGGGAGTAGGTATAATCAGTATTAATGTTTGRGATCCCTATCCATTACAAATAATGAGAGAGACTAGGGACGAGAAAGAAGGTTAATTTMGTATATTATCTTTCTTACGAGATCAACACAGGAGTCATTAGAGCAAGTGTACAGTTCTCTGAACTACRAACACAAATAAATGAGATAAACAGATCAGAAAGGAAATTTAATAGATAAATTCAAAGTTCTGTTGTCTTTCATTGCACCATTCATGCCATATTTCAACTCTTTCTTAGGCCCCGTCCACACGTATCCGCAAATTTTTGTATCCGCARTTTTTTTTTTACGGATACGGGTTGCGTCCACACGTGTCCGCAATTTTTTGTGTCCGTATCCGCAAATTTTACGAAAACGGATACGTGTGGACGGTGAAAACGATTCGAATRCGCTSCGTGTGGACGCAAACATTTTCGTATCCGCAAAAAATAATTTGCGGATACAACAATTTCCGGATACGTGTGGACGGGGCCTTAGCTTCCTGATTCTCTGTTACAATAAGGCAGTCGAGGTATATAACTAGCGCCACTAATTAAACAATAGACAGAGAACAATAGACAGTGCACTGCTTCGTATTTTAAGGTATAGTGAATTACAACCTACTTTGAAAGGCCCTTTATCGCGGTGCCCATGATGTTCATTAAGCCCCCACACCTTTATTAACCTTATGACGTCATTCTGGTCATCTGGTTGGGATGATGTCACTAATACAGCTAAAGAACCCAGCAAAAGAAAGAGTAGTTTCATATCGAGGCAGGTACTCTCCAATGTTGCCTGGAAACCAAGAAAAATCGGTCTTATTTTTTATTTCAATTTTGGGCAAAAAAGTTGATCAAGTCCAAATCCAAATTTATCGCTATCTATCTAGGTTAACTTTTCTTGTAGTTATTGTACATAGCTAGGCATGCATTATACTGACTGTAATTCCTATTGGTGCATAATTATGCTAACCGTTTACTATTTATATAAAATCCAATGAAATATCAGGTATCACTCGCTCGAAAAATTGATATCTTCACACGTGAAGGTATAGCATGTTWTTTTTACGTGYGAAGATATCACCATTGCGTCCATGTCTATTCAAAAATGCACGGAAAGAATTGCCTGAAAAAGCCAAAACATACTTCATTGATAATTATATGATAAACAGAATATTATATGGCCGCTTGGAGATATGAATTTTATCTTCTCGTGTTAAAGAYCTTTCCAACACTCGAAGATAAATTWCGTATCTCCACGCGCCCATGTAATATCCTCTATTTCTTTAGCAATGATGATAATACTAAGCYACACATGTGAAATTAAAAATACAAAAAAATCGCTGGAATCCGGTAAGCCGAATGATCTATGCATAAATAGATCATGTACCAAAACGCCACCATAAATCCAAGAGAAAAAATAAGAATGCAACTGAAAAGTGAAAAACGAGCTCAAATAAAGACGTTTGAGATCGAAAATAAAGTTGTTCTTTTCGTGCTCGTTTCAATACAACTGCGTGTGTGAGSTATTCAGCAACACAATATCACGAGGACTGTTTTGAAAAGTGAGCAAAAGTGAAAAATAGATGGCACTTTACCTTGGTTGGTTTAAGTCCGTGCTGCGAATCCTGGACTACACTATAGTGGTTTATCGCATCGTTTCGATTCTTGGTTACAATTTGTTTGCATTGGTATAATTAGTATAAATGAAGTATTGACAATGCAATAGTTATCTGCYTATTTTACACGACATTCATAACGCATAATCTTTAAAGTACACAACGACTATGGTAACAAGCTAGTTTTAAAGCTAAATGCTATTAATATTATTTAACTTTCCATGAAAATTAACCGAGAAAAAAAAAAAACACACTCAAATTTAAGATGGCACATAATGTCGAAAGAATCTGCTTCTAGACCTCTATGGCAAAACATTGAAAAAAATGTCTTTTTGGCATCCAATTTCAGTGTTATCAGTATTGATCGATTTGTAATTTTTTAGTGTTTACATGAAATGATTCTAACAAATCAGTTTTCATGACTCTTGATTACTTAACATCATCATGTTTCCTAAAAGTTCCTACAAGTTCATTGGATAATCACAAGCCATTACGAACAAATATTGATTCGTTTATACGGGACTTTATGACAACCCTGTTTTTAGAGCTTCGTTTCCAAGCAACCAAGATAAATTGTTTTGATTGGCTGACAGCCTCCCGTCAACAGGAAATTGTCAAAGGATAGCAAGTAATGTGGTGATCTCATGTCTTTTTTAGACAACTGGAAGGGGGATAAGGCAAATATCGACAGGCATCAAAGGGGTGATCACTTCACTCAGTAGCAAACACTACTAAGGGGAGTGATGGTGGGTCATGGAAAAAATATAGAGCCTGTTGGGGTGGGTTAGAAGGATCACTTTATTCGTGGGCCATTGGCCTTGGCTATTAAATGCCAGACTACTAAAGTCTGTATTATTACTATCGTCATCATTATTTATCACTCGTCATTATCATTATTATTATTACTAGTATCTTGTTAGTAGTTTGTTTGAATTTAAATTATAAAGTTTCGCATTCTATTTATTTGTCGAACTAAGCAACTCTTAGGACTATTATTGGCCTTATTTTGAAAAAMAAAGTTGCTGAAATAATAAAATTGAAATTATTTCTCTTGTCACTCATTCTAAATTCTTTTAACATGTCTATTTCGTAGCGTTGGCCAGGTTGATAGGAYGGACTCAAGTTTTCTTCGTAACCTTCCATTCATATAGGTTGAGTTAGCTAAAACATATCAAGTTGAAACAAAACCTTTAAGCAGCTGCTTGGTAGCTTTGCTGACACTAAGAAACCTGAATATACGGCTTATGACACTTCTCATAAAGTGTGATGAGGTTTCGACATATRAGTGTTCTCGTTTTAATACAATCTCATCCAAACTAACTTTCGTTGAAAAAGAACACCTACGGTCATTCTTGAATTCTTCGTCTCATACTTGTTCAACCTTTCTTTTTCATCGACTTCATGAAAACATTTGTAAGTTGATTGAAAACTTATATCAGCTTTACAGCTTTACTAACAACACAAGACATTTCTGCGTGTGTTTTTGTAAGTCATAACGACATTTTGGGTACAAAAGCCTTGCATCCCTGAAGGCTAGATAATTTCTTTCCAAGTTGAGCAGCGTCACGTACTTGATCGATCTTCTTCGTTCGCGATGAAGACCTTGTTGTTACTCCTTGCATTAATGTTTCTTGCTGTTCACAGCGAGACAAAGATAGAGGACGAAGCCCTTGGGAATGCCGATGAAAATAACTTGAAAGAAATCGTTATGGATGATGATGATAATTATGGTGGTGGGGATGATGATGACGACGACGACGACGACGATGATGACGACAATGGGTCTGGTCCTATGCCGCCTTCACGAGTAAGTCATATGTTTATAAGCTATATTTACAAAGAGAGGTTCTTTTCCACACGTTAGGCAACAGTGTTGGACGATTTAAACAAGGGAAAATCCAAAACAATATTGAATTTTGATGAGTAGGTAAACAGGGAAGAGGGAGGGGGCTGGCGAACAGGAGTTTTAGCCAGGGAGAAAACCATTTATTYGTGTAAGGCTTTCCTGTTGTCACGATTAGAAACAGCATATAATTTTTGCTTTAATTTTAGTAAGTGCTTTCCCAATCCCCCGCCCATTCTCACCGCCCTTCCTCCCTATGCCTCTGTACTTGGAATTCGACATCGAATTCATAATAGGTTTATCAGAGTTAACCTGGCTAGGTTTCGTTGAAGAAAAAAACAGCTTTTACTCGGCATTTGAAAAATAGTCGTCTTTGGACCACATTGTTTCCCTCCATCCCAGTAATCCTTGAATTTGTTAATTTTACACACACACACAAAACAACTTTAAGAAAATATATTGACTACAGAATCACTCAAAAAATACAAAAATAGTTTAAGAGTATGAGAATATTTATAGTCTATTCCTTTTTTTTATTGACTACAGAATCACTCAAAAAATACAAAAATAGTTTAAGAGTATGAGAATATTTATAGTCTATTCCTTTTTTTTTTTTTTTTTTTTTTCTTTTTTTTCTTTTTCTTTTTTGTTTTTGTTTGTTTGTTTGTTTGTTTGTTTGTATTTTTATTTTATTTTATCTTATTTATTTTTTATTATCCTCCAGAAATGCCAACAAAAATACATGCAGTGTATGAAGAATGCGAACGGATTGACGGATCGTCAACAGTGCAAACAAGATTACCGACAATGCGTCAGCAGACGGGTAAACACACTCACCAATCTCATTCGTTTTTCTTTTTCTTTTCTTTGTCCTTTATCTTCTGTCTTATGAGSAGTTGAATTAACAGCTAACTTTATTCCCCCAAAAAAGTGGAGTAAGTTAAATTATATCATACTACTCACGGCTGTTACACTAGWTTCTTAACTATTAATTCATATTAGTAATTCTGCGTATATTTAGTAGTACTACCGCTACAGTGCTGATTCTCACCGGACCCTCGCTCCAAAACACCTAAGTCCAATACTGTTATTGGGACAAGACAACTACGCAGGCMAAAAAAATAAATAAATAAAGGGATTGGGCTAGACTGCGCAGCAGGTTATCCTTACGGGATGGTGGGTGGGTGGGTGGAAGGATAAAAATTCAAAAATATATCCGACTGTTCAGCGGTATACTCTACTGGTTGCCAATGTCTACTGGTTTCATCTCGCTTGCATTTCACATTGACTCATGATACAARCTATTCTCGTTTCAGCCTTGTCGACTCCAACGTTATATATGCCTAAGGAATGCTGGATGGGATTACTACAAGAGGTACTTATGTCACTTGAGGTACAAACAGTGCCGTGCAGGAGGAAAGAAACCTCAGTGAACAGAGTAATAAAGCAAGACATTCAACTATAGATCATGTGACAACCAAACAACCAATCAGCTTTTAATCAACTTAATTATATGAAGAGTTATAGTTCACAATTAAATAGTAGTGTGTATGATCCCTCATTGCCATGGTATTACTTATAATGATACCATGATCACCTCGGATTCTTTTGGCTGCTTTACAAAACCGAATTTCCCGCATGCATAGAACATGAGGTAAATTTAGAAGAAAAAGAAATCCTTTGTCTTTTACTAAATTTCCCTGTCGCATATATTAAAAGTAGGGAARTTTAGTAAAAGACAAAGGATTTAATTTAATTGTCCAATAAGTGTTTGTAAGCCGAGTTAAGATTCATGATAGTTATGATTCATCAGCTTTTTAATAAATTTTTTTTTTTTCATTGTCTTCTAAATTTCCCTCATGTCCTATGCATGAGGGAAATTTAGGCCCCGTCCACACGTATCCGGAAATTTTTGTATCCGCAAATTTTTTTTACGGATACGGGTTGCGTCCACACGTGTCCGCAATTTTTTGTGTCCGTATCCGCAAATTTTACGAAAACAGATACGTGTGGACGGTGAAAACGATTCGAATACGCTTCGTGTGGACGCAAACATTTTCGTATCCGCAAAAAATAATTTGCGGATACAAAACTTTTTCGGATACGTGTGGACGGGGCCTTAGGGAAATTTAGAATACAATGCTTCGTCTCCCTCAGGGACAGCTCAATGCCCCTGCAACTGAATCGATTACAACGTATCCTACTTATGATATTACTGCACGGTTTCCATGTGGGACGCGTTCTCAAATCTGCGCATGCTYAGTCATAAGATAAATTGAAAATGACATCTTGTTTTTAGATTATATTTTTGTTTTATTYAATTATTTAAGCTTCTCTCCGCTTAATGCGGTACATAAATGATTATTTCAGCTAAACTTTCTAAACTTTATTGCATCAAACTGAATATACAACTAATCTTTGTTAAAGTGCTAGTCTTACGAAAATTACACCATCCCTGGAAATTGTACCTTATAAAACTAGATATGTAATATAGCTTACTGTTCTTTTTCGATACGAGACTRGGGAGATGTTGCATTTAGCCGGTAAAGTTTGGCCGTTTGAGTCCGCCATTAAGCGATTGCGTTCCTGGCAATTAACTTTTAGTGATTCGAAGGAAGTGACGTCATACGCGCCANCTCTTACATTCTTCGCACTCCATATATAGACTAACATATTTAAGTGCGCTGTTGCCCTCAACCACACTTGGAGTGGGGGTCGTCCGTAGGTGGATTTTTGACGCGGGTCTTACCCCGTGTTGAGATTGCGCTGGAACCCCCATTCCCTATACTACTCGCGCCACCCTTCAAAATTCCCTGCTTTTCACAATGTGTAATTGCAACCAAATTTCGACTATTTTTGATTTAAAAACAAGTCTTAAACCAAGTCATGTCTTCTTACAGAGAATGCTGTAGAGTAAGTGTGGATAAAAAGGATGCCAGTTGCGCATATGACGTCACACATAAATTAAAATGCAACGACAAAATCGCTGCTCATAGAAATGGCGGACGAGCTTTTAACAATTTTCGGAAGTAGAATTCAGACGGGAAAAGTTTCTTTTTCGAACCAATTATTGTTTATTGGTGAACATTATAACCTATTTGAGCATATACAAAAACGGGGATTCTTTTGCGTCATTAATATTTTCGTAAGACTAGCACTTTAATTTTAAACACGTTTTGACCATTTTCTGTGTTTTTTGGTATTTGTCGGTACTCTATCTTCTCGAACTTTCTGTTCATCTCTATACGTAGCAAAGGAAAAACGTTGCGCCATGTTTGTCTACAGCATAGAGTGTTGCGAATGTATAATGCTTTTATCTGTGTGCACAGAGATTTCAAAATTGACATAAATAACAGGCACCAATTCAGAGCCATACAAAAGTAGGTTTTATTAAATAAGTGAATGCCGATTTTAGGGTATGTTGTACTATAAAATAATCCTTTTGTTTTCTAGAGTTTTAGTCCGATTATCAAAAAAGAACACAGTTTTGTAGGGTGACTAGAAACACACAAAGTAATGTTCATATACGCCCTTTCTAGATCGAATTAGAATTTAGAAGTTGATTTTTTGCGGAGTGGAGAAAAACCGGAGAGCCCGAAGAAAAATCCTCGAAGCACGGGAGAGAACCAACAAACAATTCTACTCACATATCCACATAAAACGACTGAGTTCGAGAATCGCGCATTGGTAAGAGGCGAGCGCTCTCACCACTACTCCACCCATGCTTTCCTTATCTATAAGCTATATATGATGAGATATATCTCAGCCTAATTTCAATCAAAATCAAACAAATTTAGTAGTATCAGCACTCTAGCTGCATCCTCCTCAAAATTAACTATTGCTGGTTTTCAATCATTCGCAAGAGAATGTAATAACAAAAGACACGGCGGCATGTTGGATGATATACCAAATGAGACTTATGGCGAATCTTTTTTTAAATTCATCCAACATGGCGGCCGTGCAAAACATCAATARAGGTAAGTTGTTAGGGTCACKGGCACCAGTGTGATGCCATAGCATTTTTTCATGTTCCATATTTTGAGTAGGAGTATACTGCAAAGGCCTTGAATTACATTCACCAATACTCTCAGAGATATACCTGTTTCAAAAAACTTTGTCGGTCGGACATCCGAAATTAAACTGAGACCGAGCAGAATTATGGGGACTAAGTGTTAAAAAAAATCAAAATACACTTAGTCAGACAACTCGTTAGCACAGGTYATCTTCAAAGTAGGTATATTGATATATGACTTGTTTCAAACTACTAATTCAAATCACAAAACAATTAATTATTTACCAGCTTACAATCCACAATTCATTTCGGTCACAGATTTCAGATCTCGCCAACAACGTTTATTGAAATAGGTGTATTATGGATGGTGGRTACAARACGAAGATCGAAGACCAAAGACCCTCGAGTCATCGACATACGACTCGACTTTATAAGTCTTGCAGACTAATGGCAGACCGTCGAKTCATAAGTTGAAGAGCATGGGTCCAAGGATGGACCCTTGTGGAACACCGTGCTTCAGAAAAAAGCGTTATTTCTTTCTTCTAAATCACAATAGCAAAYCAATAAGAATATACTGCCTACTAATGTT